ATATATAAAGAATTTATTTAGGCCAAACCCATAGCACAGTGCTTAGGCAAGGTGCACTGAGAGCCCGATCTCACGTGGTTTGAATCCTGACCCAAGTGGCTTGAAAAACACAGCAATAACATGTGCATGTGTGTCTAAAATTCTGACAAGGAGGAGGAATAGAGGATAAAGGATTGTGGCGTGACCACACCCCACTGAGGTGTGCTTTCTCTCTCTTTTTCTTTTTCTCACAAATGCATGTGCCTTTAAGAATTAAAAAAAATATTTTTAAGAATTTTTATAAAACCAGGACCAGCAGATGGCATAATGGTTACATTGCTGGTCTCATACACAGTCAACTGCAGTTTGAGTCCTGGACCTGGTGGCTTAAAACTCATGCTGGGTGTGTGGGCATGCATGCTCAAGGTCCCAAGAGGAGAATGGAGGAGAAGAGAGTTGGGCATGGTCATCCCCCCCGAGGGGGCGATTTTTCACTTTCTGTCTCTCCCTATAGCAAAAACCTCTCTTAAAAAAAAAAAAAAATCCTAAAACTCTGGGTCCAACAGGTGGTATGGTGGTTTAGGCACTGGATTTCCACACAGGCTACTACAGTCCAAGTCCTGGACCCAGTGGCTTGAAAAATCATGCCAGGCATGTGTGCATATGCATGCTCATAATACGGAAAGGAGAATGGAGAAGGGACTATGGCATGGCCATCCTCCCAGGGGGTGGGGGGATTTCTCACTTTCCCTCTCTCTGTCTCTCTCTGGCGAGTGTAAGCACCTTATGGCAAAGACTTAAAAAAAAAAAAAAGAAAAAAGAAAAACAAAGAAAACCCCAAAAAACTAAACCCTAAAACTTCAATAAGAAAATACACAAAGGACAATTATTAAAAAAAAATACATGAAGAACAATTATTTTAAAAAAAGAATTACTAGTAAACATGAACATATATAATATATATTCAACATCACTAGCAAGCAAAGAAATGTTAACTAAAATAATGAGATACTAGTTTTCATCCATTGGCAAGATTTTTTTTTTTAATTTGCTAGAGGGCACATGTGCTTGCCAGAGAGAAAGGAAAGGTAAGAAAGAACCCCCATTGGATGGTAATGTCACAATCCTTTCACTTCCATTTCTCCTTTCAGGATTTTGGACACAGCCTGCTTTTCCAGCTGCCAAATCTGGAACGCACACCAAATCCAGGACTTGAACCATGTAGTCAGCCATGTGGGATCCAGCTGCCATAACCACCACACTTATCAGCTGGCCCGAGATTGTTGTTATTGTTGTTTTGTTTGTTTTTGTTTTGTTTTGTTTTTAAGATAATTCTCATTTTTGGCAAAGGAGTAGCAAAATAGGCACCCTCTTATGTTCTCAAAAAATGTAAATGGAAACTACCTTTCTGCCAGCATTTGGCCTGGATCTACCTGCTCAGTCCATGATGAGACATGGTGCTCATGCTCATGAAAGTGACCTTCTGGAGGGAAAGACACTTTAAACAGGTGATTACTTCCACAACTATGACTGACTGTAACTGCTAAACGTCACTAAGAAACACAGGTATTGTGAGGTAGTTTAATAGTGACGCCTGATTTGACGGGCAGGGGGACAGGAGGACACGTGTGTTCAGGAAAAAACTAAGAGCTGAAAGAAGAGAGGAATTAACTAGGTAAAGGGGGGAATGGCGAAATGGGAAGAGAGTGAGTGGCTAGACACAGAGAACTGTATAGGTGAAGACCCTGAAGTAGGAAGAAGCAAAGCTCTGGAAATACCGGAATGGAAAAGAATGCTTTTTGGGTCTGAGCTCATGAGAAGAGGTTGAGCTGGGCGTCCCAAACCAGGACAAAATCTTGGTCCTTAGCCTAAGGGTAGTGGGAAGCTACTTAAGTGTTTTGAGCAGAAAAACAACATTATATACATATATATATATATATATATATATATATATATATGTATATTTATTTATTTTAAAGAAACAATGTCTAGTTTCAGGATGAGCGATGGTCTGGGAAGGGAGAGCAGGGGGTGCAGAGAGACTAGGGACAAGGCTGCTGCAACTACAGAGGTGAGAAACAGCAGGGCAGCGTCCGCCAGGAGATGGCTGTGGAGAGAGAGAGATGAAGATGAAGATGAGGTCTCTAGGAGTCAAGTCACTGCGCCACAAGACAGCACTAGAGAGGCAATCAGTGTGACTCGGGTTCTGGGGTTAGGAGCTTCAGGGACTGCGGCCTGATGGAAACATGCATATCCTTTGACCCAGTAATTCCTCTGCAAGTCTGTTCCAGGGAAATGATCAGAAATCAGGACAAGATTTGTTTTATAAATTAAAAAACTATCAGCAATCTAAATAATAAAAATAGAATTTAAAAATAAATTGGTATTACTATAGAGTGGAGTATTAGGTAACCCTTTAAAAGTCACAGTAATGTGGGAACCAGCAGTTAGCATAATGGCTATGTCGCTGGACTCCCACGTAGTCGACCGTGGTTCGCGTCCAGGACCCAGTGGCTTAAAACTCACGCTGGGCGCGTGTGTATGCGTGCCCAAGATCCCGAGAGGAGAATGGAGGAAAAGGGACTGTGGCGTGACCATCCCCCTGGGGGGTGATTTCTCGCTTTCTGTCTCTATGTCTCTGTCTGGTGAGCGCATGCGCCCTATAGCGAAAACCTCTCCCCAAAAAATAAATAAATAAATAAAAAGTCACAGTAATGTCATAGAGTGGAGTATTAGGTAGCCCTTTAAAAGTCACAGTAATGTCAAGAGGAGTTGCTCAAAATATGTTAAGTTTTGAAAAAAAAAGGCAGGCTATGAAAATTAATACAAGTGTATTTTAAGAAAATAGCAAATGGCAGGCCAGCAGGTGATGTGGAGGTTAGGGGAGCTGGATTTCCACATGGCCGACCACAGTTCCAGTCCTGGACCTGGCGGCTTGCTTTCTCAGTTTCACTTTCTTTCTTTCTGTCTCTCTCTGGTCAAACTGAAAAATAATAACAACACTGAATGGAATTAATTAAATAAATGATTTTAAAAAACATATCAAAAGACCTAAATAGATACACATTAAAGTATGACTAGTAACTATCACTGAGGAGTAAAACAGGTGCTCTCATATTTGTCTGTGCCTTTCCAGCTGTTCAGTTTTCTTTACACTGAAGAAGTTGTACTGTTTTTTATGCCAGAAGACATGTGCACACATAGGAGTTGGGGGAGGGTGGGAGAGAAAGAAAGCACGCCATAACAGGGCCCAGGCACTGTGCAATCCTTTTTCCAGCCTGTCCAGATCCTGAGCACATGCTCACACACCAGTGTGTTTTTCAAGCCCCTAAGGCAAGACTCAAACCTCAGTTGGCCATGTGGGATCTGACTTCCTCCTTGCAGCACTTAACCACTATGCTGTTAGGCTGGCTGCATAGCTTTACTTTAAAATTATTTCTACTTTTAAATATTTGTTGAGGGACCAGCAGGTGGTGTGGTGGTTAAGATGCTGGACACTCCCACATGGCCGACCAATGGTTTAAGTCTCAGACCTGGTGGCTTGCTTTCTCACTTTCCCTCTTTCTCTCTCTGTGTCTCTCTGGTCAAACTAAAAATAAGTGAATGAAAAATAAAATGAAATAAATAATTAAAAAAAGAATACAGTTACTAAATATTAAAAATAATAATAATATTTGTTGAACACTTACTAAGTGTTAGGTACCATCTAAATGCTTTACACATATGAAATCAACTAATCCTGAAAATATTTCTAACATACAGAAAAGTTATTTTGCCCAAAGTCACCCAGTAAGCCAAAATCTGAATCTTGCAACCCAACTCACGTCAGGTCTCTTAAACCATTACCTTATACTACCTAGGGAAGTACCGTAGTCACATTCAGAGAAATAGCTTTTTTCCTAATTATGTTTATATGACTGAGTGATTGCCAGAGGGTATGTTCACTCGCCGGAGAGAGAAAGCACCCTCAATGATACATGGTCATGCCAACATCTTTTTTCCTACATTTCTCCATCCTATCAGGCTTTTGGGTGTGCATGCACATGTGCCTGGTCGATTTATTTGATCTTATTTTTATGTTAATACTGCTGGCCTAGCATTTAATTTTAAAATGCAATAAACAGTTCAGTCTATGATGAAAAGGAGATACCAAAGAGTTCCAGAGTTCCAAGTATTAATCCTGCTATATCTGACTCAGGAGTACAAGGGGTTTTAGGCACCAAAAACCGAGTAATTCCACGGGGTGTACTCCAAGGTCAGCATGAGAGAAAGAAGGCTGGGGCAGCCGGAGGGGAGGTGGGGAACTTCTTAGTTCCCCTTGAGCTATTAATAGATATTCATAAGCCACTTCACCACAAAGCTGAAAGCACTGTGAATTTCTATATTATGAAATTTACTCATATTAAAGCACAAGTTAAATACCAAGCAATAGTTATGAACTCCTTTAGACTAGAAATGGCACTGTTTCTTCCATCTATAACAACTAATGGTAATCACAATACCTGACAATTGGGGAAAAAAATAGAAATATTAGAAGTCTTCAGGAAAAAAAGAGGGAACAGGTGAAATCTTTTTGCTTAAGAGAATGAAAACACCAGGTTTACAAATGTTTGTGCAGTGCAATTCAGGTCAGAAGACTGGTAAAGCAAGGAGATGAAAATACGACTGAGACCGAGTACTATAAATAGTGTCTGAAGTCACAAATGAAAGGACACATTCCACATAAGTCAAAAGTGGAAGGGACGATTAGATTAGTATTGGTCTTTGCAGTCAATACGTCTTTTACAATACGTGAAAACTACATTTTGTATGGGCTTATAAACTGTTTAGTCTAGAAACAAACAAACAAACAAAAACCTAAGGGCAAATTCCTCTTCCAAACTTTCCAAGAAAACATCCCTAGCTTTACAGTAATCTTCAAAAAGAAGATTAAAATAAGGGGTACTCTAGAGACAAGGAAACCGCTGCTGAGAACGTGATCATGTTGAAGAGACATTACTGTGTGATTCTGACAGTCTTACCTGTGTCTGTGTTTCTCATCCCCATTCTGAATTGTATCTGCTTGCCATGAAGGACCTTAGAAAGGTGTTGAGCGTTCCAGTGTCGCGCTGGCCAATCAGAAACCATGTTACAGAATACTGCAGGTTGTTGTAAAGCCATTATAATTTCTTTTGCTTTTTCTGGAGTAAAAGGTTTGACATGTACACCTAGAAAAGAGAAATAAATGAAGCAATAGGTAGAGAACTATATAAAGTTATTTCATATAATACAAAGAAAAATATTATTTCTATAATGGCAAGTCTTCCTATGCAATTACAATGTACTTATACTTCATTTATTAAGTTTGTATAAATATTTGGCCTTAGAGGACCATAACTTTTAGAAGAATTTGTCTCAAGTTAAATTTAAATGTTGGGGGCTGGCCCTATGGTCTAGTAGTTAAGGAAGTCAGAAACCACATGACCAACTGCATGGTGTGAATCCTGGTCCTCGCAGCTTGAAAACACACCAGGCACATGTATGTCCATGTCCCAAATCTCAACAGAATGGAAAAATGGAGAAGGGACTGCAACGTGACCATACCCCATTTGGGGTGCTCTGTCTCTCTCTCTCTCTTACTTTCTCTCTCTGCCTCTCCCTGGAGACAGCCTGTGCCTTCTGACAAAATTTTTAAAACATTTTTAAATGTAGGAGCCAGCAAGTGGCATGGTGATTACCGCATTGGACTCCCACATGACTGACCACTGTTCAAGTCCCAGACCTGGCATCTTAAAATCATGCCGTGTGTGTGTGTGTGGTCAAAATCCCAAGAGAAGAACAGAGGAGAAGGGACTGCCATGTACTCATCCCCCCCCGGGGGGGGGTGATTTCTCACTTTCCCTCTTCCTCTCTCTGGCAGCACACTGCCCTATGGCAAAAACTTAAAAAAAAAAAAAAAAGTAAATGTTGGTAAATATTTACAATTTTCAGTGTCAAAATTAAGATTAAATGTTAAAAAAGGCTTTCTAATTACTTTAAATCTAAAAAGGTGCAATTTTTGAAAATATTAATTCCTAAATAGAGAGTTATAAATAAACGCTGATGGGAACTGCTTCAGAACAACTAGAGTTGCTGGAGTCAGCAACAATTCAACTTGCTTTATTACATGCTTACGCCGAAAAGACTACTGAATTAATATAGCAGTGAATCTGACAGGGAAAGATTACTTTTACCATCATCTTCATGATAAAAGATGTGTTAATCGGCGCCAACAGATGGCACAGCAGTTACGTCGTTGTACTCTCACATGGCCAACGATTTGAATCCTGGACCTGGTGACTTGAAAATCACGCCAGGCGTGTGGTATGTGCGTGCCCAGGATCCTCAGAGGAGAATGGAGAAGGGATTGCAATGTGGCCATCTTCCCTGGGGGGTGACTTCTCACTTTCGCTCTCACCGTCTCTGACTCTCTCCCTCTCTTGGAGAGCACATGCACTATAAGGCAAAAATCTCTTTAAAAAAAAAAAAAAAAAGGACTAGCACATGGCCTAATGGCTACATCGCTGAACTGCAGTTCAAGTCCTGGATCCGTAGGCTTAAACTCAAGGTGAATGCATGTGCATGCATGCCCAAAATCCCAGGTTAACAGGAGGAAAACAAGCAAATTTTATATGTATGTGGGAGCCCTCAAAAGCAAGATGAAGAACTACAGAAGCAGTTAATAGTCCAAAGCTCACATACAGGTAGGGCTAACAGTAGAAGATTGTGAAAACATGACAAAATGAAGGGGTTTGGCCCAGGGACATTCATTATGGAAAATGACTAAGAAGATAAGAGTTGAGGCCAGCCAGTGATGCGGTGGTTGAGGCACTGGACTCCCACATGGCCATCCATGGTTTGAGTCCTGGACCTGGCAGCTTGCTTTCTCACTTTCCCCTCTCTCTTTCTCTCTGGTCAAATTAAAAATAATAATAAATTAAATAAAATAAATTAAAATAAAATAAGTAGTTCTTAAAAATAAAGATAAGGGTTAGTGGAACAAGGTTTTTTGTACATATTTCTCTCAGCCCTGACTCCTGGTTCCCGGTGGTAAGACAGTCTTCCATTCTCATGGTACTGGGAGGATAGCTCTCACATGGGAGTTTTATCTCCTACTTTGGGGAAGAAAGATCAGAATACCCTTCTGCATCACTGGTTCTCAAGTGTCTTTAAGCCAAACTGATCATCAATATGCCAAGGCAGCATACGTGGGGTGGCACATTTTGATCCACTTGACACCGTGAAAAGATGCAGTACACTCACAATACATTCTGTTGTTCATGAAGTCTGAGTTGGAGCCATCCTTTGGGAAACAACTGGGGAAATGAAGAAGTCTCCAAGGGACCAGCAGTTAGCATAATGGCTATGTCACTGGACTCCCATGTAGTCAACCGCAGTTCAAGTCCTGGCCCGGTGGCTTAAAACTTATGCTGGGCACATGTGTGTGTGTGTGCCCAAGATCCCAAGAGGAGAATGGAGAAGAAAGGACTGCGGCGTGGCCATCCCCTGGGGCGTGACTTCTCGCTTTCTGTCTCTCTGTCACGCACGCTCTAGGGCACGCTAGAGCGCGTGTGACCTATAACAAAAATATAACAACAACAACAAAAAAACTCTCCAAAGAAGTCTTCAAGAAACATCCATTATCCAGTAACTCGTGTTATAGGAATTTATTCTAACAATTCCCATTATAAGCTATATGCATACCCATATATATTATATATAATGTACACACACACACACACACACACACACGTGTGCACAGTGCCTACTGCCACATTGTAACAGTTAAGAATATACACAACCTAATATTAGCCCAAAGAAGAAAAATATTTACTGAATTAGGACATCACAATCGTATGGTACATTATACAGCATATATACAAAATATATATAAAAATAAAAGTGAGAGCTGTGTGGAAATGGCAAATGGGAAGGGAGAGGAGGACTGAGAACTATTGCAACAGTCAAGTGAGAAGTACGACATTACGGCCTTGAATAATAAGGGGTGGCAGTAAGGAGGGCAGGGATGGGAGAAAAGGAGAAATACTAACAGAACAATATCAAGGTGGGCTACAACCACAAACATGAGGTGGGAGGCAGGTGTGGCCTAAAGACAGAAGTTTCCAAACTTGGTGACTTGCCACAAGAGGAACATCAAGAGCTACAGCTTGTTCTGTTGGGAAGGCACAGAATTTGATTTTGAACATGATCACCTTACCCGTCTTGTACATTTATTTGTATAACACATCACTGTTTACTATGCGTTTTCACACGTGTCTAATAAAATGCACTTGTCCGATCCTACAAGAAGTCTGTAAAACACAGGCAAAGATGGTATTTTATTTACATTGTCCAAAGAATGAAATAAAAGCTTGGATGTCAAAGGAATTGGAACTAGACATCAGTCTCTTGATTCCAAGTCTAGTGTTCTTTCTACTGCACAATCCCACTTTCAGAGAATTAAAACTGTGAGACATGGGGTCAGATGTGCACAAATGTACCCACATAGGAAGGTTCAGGTTTGCTTCAGGAGCCCCCCCTCCCCCTGTGCACACCAGAAACATATGTTGGGCCTACGACCCAGGCTGGTTGAGACGGCTGTGGCATGGGGACCCTGTTGGAGGTGTCTCTGTCTCTCCCTCTCATGAAATAAACTTTTTATTCTTTATGCTTACAGAGTGTGTCCACATGCACATGAGGGAGGAGGGGAGCACCTTCCACAAGAGCTGGTTATGTTGTGGACCCCACTGGAGCTTGGGCATGTGTCTGTGTGCCCAGGGGTTTCAGGCTGACCAGGCCAGGGATTCGAACTGCAGTCACCGTGCGGGATCTGGCTTCTCTTGAACAGCATATTATTGCTGCACCATGATGCTGGTTCAACTTTTTAGAACAAATAAATTCAACTGTGAAACTTAAACTAGGGCTGAAATTTCAGTAGAAAAAGTACAATCGGAAAATATAAATATGTTGAGAAAAGTTTAAGAACAATTTATAGGTAGTAATCCATATGCGCTCTGGGGAGAAATGGATACTTTAGAGAATGTGTATGTGTGCATGTTTAGGTGGGTGGCTATACTCTGCAATGGAGACTACTAGTTGCCTACCTACCCAATACTCATTCTCTTCTCCTTTACTAATTGAACTTTTGGCAAGGAGAATGGTTGAAAAATTATATTCCCAGACTCCTTCACAGACAGAAGTGCCCAAAGATATATCTGGAAGTTGCTGAGTCAGCCTTCTGACCCTGATCCTCCTAAGTACAGCCTGGAAAGCAGATAAAATGGTTTAGTCACCTTGGGAAACCAAAGAAAAGCCCAGAAAATTTCAAACCTGTCCAGAAGAAAATAAAGATGTCTATCTTTGTGTCACTGAGCCAACATGGCAAACTTCTACCTCCCGAATCCTTTTATATAAAACAAAACAACAACAACAAAACAACCCTTATAGTCAAGATGCTGTTTTTGCTTCGTAACTGATATATCACGTTGCCTCAGAGCCTTGTCATTTTCAAGGACAACCACATTCTCCATGTAAGTGCCCTTTGGCCTAGACCAGGTAACTATACACGGCTAACCTGACCTACTGTAGCATTCCTTCAGTTCAAGGTTGTAAAATAGTCAAACTTTGAACATTTTGCTTCTAAACTAAGGATCAGAGGAAAACAGAAGCACTGGTCTTTGTGGAATAGGGATATATCTATTATACTCATCTTAAATCAGAGCTAATAGATTATACGGCTTTAAATATTCCCGAAATGGCCCTCGTGTTCAGGTAGACATATCTGGCTGCCCTTCTGCAAACAGGTACGTAGGCATTAGCGACAGCAGCGCACGGGAATCATTTTGACAAACTAGCTTCAAAGAAGTCATATCTTTTCTCCTAGCTAACTAAAAACCTGATAGCCCATTGATTATTTGGTAGGAGGTCTCCAAAACTAAAATGTATCAAGAAAGCTCCTGGTTTATTGTCTGGTGAATATTAAATGCTAAATGAGTGAGAAGTGCTAAAAAGTGTGTGCAAAACAGAGCAGTAGGATGTTCACCATAACAGGAAATTAGCAAATTTACAGAATTTCAGGCCCATCAGTGAAATAAAACAATCAGCTGGTTGTAAGATGAAGCTAATTTGGTTTCTGATAGTTTAATCAACAATGAACTGGGCCATTAAATTAACAAATTTAAGTGTTACA